AAAAATCTCCGTCAGTTTTTATCACATTTGGATTCCGTTTGATATGGATTTTCTGCGAAACAAAAAACATGCAACAAATAGGAACTAGCACTGGGCACTGGATCAATATGTTAGTCCCAAAAATAGTATAAAAAGTTGCCAAAAGTATATGAAAGTTGTATAATATTGGCATGGAACAATCAAAAATTATAGATACGATGGAGACGTATCACCCAATAGTTTTAGCCCTCCTATAGGTCTACTTGGGTGCCCTAGACGGTTGGTGTTGTCGAAGCTTAGTCATTGGAGTGTACAACTTTAGACAAGCTCCGGGAGACTCCAATTAAGTTGTGGAGAGCGCCCCCAGCAATTTGTACGGGTTCTGTGACTGCCCCCAATGGTTGCCAATTGTAAAAGTTCGGTGACTTCCCTCAAGGGTCCCTGTGACACCCCCTAAATTAATCATGCACTAAACATCCAAGCAGCATGCACGATCAAGATCAGTGACTCACGGTATAATATCACAACACAACTCTATGAGACAAATGATAAACATAAAGCTTTATATTACAAGCCAGGGCCATGAAGGCTCGAATACAAAAGTCAGTGAAAGCAACAATATCTGAGTACGGACATAGTTAGACAAGTTTTCCTTAAGAAGGCTAAGCAATACAACAACATCTAGATCGAAAGGCGCAGGCCTCCTGCCTGGGGACTCCTAACTACTCCTGGTTGTCATTCTCCACGTAGTAGTAGGCTCCGTCGGTGTAGTAGTTGTCATCGGCGGGATCAGCTGGCTCCTGGGCTCCGTCATCTGATCGCAATAATCGGGTAAAGGGGCAAAATGTAGCAAAGCAACCGTGAGTACTCATCAAAAGTACTCGCAAGACTTAAATTAGATCTATGCTAAGTATACAACAGTATCAAAGGGAACGGGCTGTATCTATGTACTATACTGCAGAGTTGCCAGAATAGAGGGGAAGGCCTAGCCTATCGAATACTAGCATCTTGTAACGTCTTGTAGCAACATAAGAGAGTAAGGTAACATATCATATAGTAACAAGTATATAATAGCAACCCCCAGAGATCCTTCCACATCTACCCCACGAGGAAGCGATCCCGGAGCCATCATACATGTTTAGTGTCAAAAGTATCCAGTTCTAGTTGTAGTAGATCGAGATACAACTCCGAGCGTCCGTTACCGTGGACATGACTATTCGAATAGATTACTTCCCTGCAGGGGTGCACCAACTTACCCAACACGCTCGATTACATCTGATCGGACACACTTTGTGGGTAATGCCCGGCCTCGGATGATCAACACGCCGTAGTCCTACCTAGGCTCCGCAGAGAGGTCCCCACCAGTCTACATCCTAAGCACAAAGGGGTTGTTCAGACGCTCACCCCTAAGCACTCCGGGTCGTTGCAAGCAGGGTCGGGACCAAGCACCACCTCTGTCCTGGATGGCACGTGACCGGCCGTGCCGCAATGCTGAATTGGACGACTGACAAAGCTTTCGGAAGAAATCGTATGACGCCGAGTGCCCATACTTATTCCGTGTGGCGGTTAGTGTGAAAAGATCAAAGGCCTACTCAGATCACATATCCAAACAATTTGTGTATTGGGAGCTCGCGGAAATGATCAGTGATCCTGTCGCCCCGTCTCGAGACTTACAGCAAGGGCCAGGCCCATCCCTCTCTAGGGCTCTCTCTGCCTGCCCAGTCGTGTCGCGTCATTATCTCGCGTGTACCCTCATGGTCAACCCGACTACAATGACTCTCGCGGGTACCCCTTGGGTCGACCCGACTTCAACAAAGGACTGAGATGAAGGTCAAGGTATCTGTGTGTCCATAACATCAAGGGGGAATATGAGGAATCACCCTTGATGGATTCCTACTCGATATAACCGGCAAGGTGACCTTGGAGAAATCACCCTTGAAGGGTTCACACTTGAGTTGTTGCACGACATAGTCATCATAGGGAGTGGTGAATGAGGAATCACCCTCGATAATCCACGACCGATTAGCTACACTACAGACATATCATCAGGAGTGAGATTCGAGGTATCACCCTCGGCACTCAATAGTATATCTACATAGTCATACAACTAAAGGGGGTGCCGGTGATGTGTCATTTTTTGCACCTCGATCACATTGACCGAGTCATCCGGAAGCAAAGCATGGCAACACGAACAAGGGTGCGGGGCCACTGATGGATCACTAACCAACCTATACTAAGCATATAGGATAACAGGTAAAGTGACAACAACGGGTTACAAAAGTAGGCTATGCATCAGAATAGGAGCTATTGAACAATAGTAGCAAAATATAATGCAAGCATGAGAGAGAAAGAATGTGTGATATAGGAATGATCAATGGGGTTTTGCTTGCCTGGAAGCTCTGCTGAAAGGGGCTGCTCATCTGCGGTGTAGTCGTAACCAGCAGCGTCAATGTCGGTCTCGGGGTCTACCAGAGAAGAAGAGGGGGAAGAAACAGTAAATATAAAGCACTCATATGCAGTACAATGCATGACATGGTGATATGCTATGTTAGGGGTAACCTAATGCAGCGCTAGGTGTTATAGATGGAGCGGGAAAATATCCAGGAATATTTCCCTGGCTCGAGGCATTTATCGGCCAAACGATCCGGAGGGCAAGGTTCCATGTTTGCTGTGTTGGGGGCATGTGGTAGGTATGTGGATGGCGTATTCGGATTTGCACATTTTGATTTTACTTCCTTGTTAGCATTTATATATTATTACCTTGAATTATTTTTATCCCGAGTTCACAACACATTGCATCATTTGATCAAGATTATGCTAGGTAGCATTGCACATAAAAATTATCTTTGACTTATCATCTACCTACTCGAGGATGAATAGGGACTATCTTTGTTTTATCATCTACCTACTCGAGAACGGGTAGGAATTAAGCTTGGGGATGCTGATTTGTCTCAAACTTAATTACACCCCGGAGCTCGAGAGCGATACTTGAGAAACATCACAAAATCAAAGTCATAATGTGTTGTCGCCACCACTTTCCACGATCTGAGTAGCTACATGCATAGCACAATCACGATGTGAGATGATTCGCAAGTGGATACCATGCTTGCACGAGCAAGTAGTCGAGTCGTGACAAAAAGTTGGTCGCTACCAAAGATTCTGAACAACAAAGGTCAATTTTGTACAGCATGGCGATGATTCAGGGAGGAAGGTCACAAATACTACCAAAACCCTAATCTGGGACACTCCGGCAATCCCGCACCATCCTCATGCTCCGTTGTCCTCATACGTGGCGGCATAATCAGTCAACAAAATAAACTTGTCGCTACCATTGGATTTGAAGATCCAAGAACCCCATCTTGCCGCAACAATCAACTGTAGACGGGATCGTGGGCACCGAGTTCTCATTACCACGTCCTTTGCATCAAGCCGTCGTCCATATCCCGCACCTTCAAATCACCTCCCAAGCAACGCCACCAGACCTTGTCACCCTCCGCACCGCCTCAAGGCACAACCGCAATGCCCAGATCAGGCCACACAAACAAAGATTGAGGCCCAATCTTAGGTCGTGATCTGGCGTGCAAAAATTGCAAGTCGAAGGCAAAGGGGGACATCCAACCAAGGAGATGAGAGAGGGGGAGCCGAACGGGTCTGCCCCGCTGCCGTTGTCAGCATTGACTGCCTCCTTCGATGACGGCTGGGGAGAAGGTCAGCGGTGGTGGCCTTTAGGGATGATAGTGGGGAAGGCCTTTGGAGTCGTCCTAGGACCTGCCTGGGAGGCAGGCGTGCATGTGTTCACTCACGCGGTCCTCAAAATTGGGAGATAGTTTCACTTCTCCCGACTATCAAGCTTGTCCCTCATGGATATTTTTATGAATATCCAAAAAACATCTTAATGTGTGATCCCATCACATACGAAGGTTGGTCCTCAAAAAGGTAAAATGAAAAAAATGCATCACATGTCAATTCTAGAAATTGCACCCAGGTGATGTGGATGCACAACAGCATGCCTACTACTGAGCTAAGTCGACTTAATGTGCAATCTCTCCGTCACATACTCACTCCATCCCATAATATAAGAACATTTTTTACACTATATTAGTGTCAAAAATATTTTTATATTATGGGACGGAGGGAGTTATCCTGTTATGCATAGTGGGAGTTATCCTGTGATGCATAGTGTGCATCATCGATGCGTCGCTCTAACTTAGAAATCAAACGCAAATTCAAGGTTGGTGAGGGAGCGGTGGCCGCCGGCGGAAAGCCTCCGACAGTCACGTATGAGTTGGTGATTCATATAGTACGTGGTGCAAGCGTCATGCTGAAGTAGTTATACCATACGAATATTAATTTGGTGTCTCACTTTTCATCATTTCTCGGACAAGGAGTATTTTCTCCCTTTTCGAAAAGATAAGTATTTTCTCTACATTTGTTCTTTTGAAAGAAGCTTGCGAGGACGGTGGACGTGCTTACGTCAGTACGGACGCCATGGTTACGCGCGCAGCTCAACCAGCTGATGCTTTGGAAGTGTCCAGGTTCTTTCTCCACCGGCCACACTCATTTCTCAACCCAATAATCAATGATCTCCATTTTTTAATTAGCAGTCGCTCTTTCTAGGACAGCGCAAGGAGGATTATCTTAACAGTATTGAATCAGTTTGATGTACTCTATAAATACCAGTGCCTCCGTGTCTTCTTCCTTCACCAGCCATAGCCATAGCCATACAGCGACAACAAGGAGAGCAAATTAGAAACACAGATCAAGGGGAAGAGAACTCCGCAGCTGATCAGCAATGGCGACCAAGATCTACATAGTGTAATGATCCTCTTCTTAATTCTTATTGCCCCGGCTGGTAGCAGATTGATCTGATTTCTGCTTATTATCTCTGCAGGTACTACTCGACCTGGGGACACGTCGCTACGCTGGCGGAGGAGATGAAGAAGGGCGCCGACTCCGTCCCCGGCGTGGAGGTCACCGTCTGGCGGGTGCCGGAGACACTGCCAGAGGAGGTGCTCGGGAAGATGCACGCGGCGCCGGGGCGTGAGGACCACCCCGTCATCACGGCGAGCCAGCTGGCCGAGGCCGACGGCATCCTGTTCGGCTTCCCGACGCGGTTCGGCATGATGGCGGCGCAGATGAAGGCCTTCTTCGACTCCACCGGCGGCCTCTGGCAGGCGCAGAGCCTCTCGGGCAAGCCTGCGGGCGTCTTCTTCGCGACGGGCACCCAGGGCGGTGGGCAGGAGACCACGGCTCTCACGGCCGTGACGCAGCTGACGCACCACGGCATGCTGTTCGTGCCGGTCGGGTACACGCACGGCGCCGGCATGTTCGCCATGGACGAGGTCAAGGGCGGCAGCCCGTACGGTGCTGGCATCTTTGCTGGAGCCGATGGCAGCAGGGTGCCCAGCGATGCCGAGCTCGCCCTCGCGGCGCACCAGGGCAAGTACTTTGCCGGCATCGCCAAGAAGCTCAAAGCCATCTGAACTCAGATCACGAGCCGTGTCCCATGATTCATATCAAGTACTCAATCAGTACAGGATGATTTGACACATCATTTTCAGTGGAGCAGATTTACACAATTCTAGACAATTTAACTGTACTGCATTTAATTTCTTGTTTGGACAAATAATACAATTTCTTGTTCTGAGTGGAGCATTCGGTCTTGGTTTATTAGCCCCTCATATTTAGGGTCTTATTTTAATCATAATTTTAACTAATAAAATATAAATTATATATAACAAAAATAATATCATCGGAAGCTATGTTCAAATATGAATTCAACGATATAATTTTTGTGACATGCATTACATTTTGTTCGTTAAATCTATAATCAAATTTTGCTATAAAATACAAACAAGACCAATAAAACAGGACGAAGGTAGTATATACTAGCACAGAAGTTAACAAAATATATTGTTTCTTTTGGTTGTGGTACATAGGCCGCGTGCCCACAGCCTGCGATTGGCCGCATCGCTGGCCACACGATTTCCTCATCGCCGGTCGTTGCCTTGGATCTCACCATGTGTTGTCCTTCCCTCCCCTCGCATTGCCTACAAAGAAAAATTACCCTTCTTACTTCTTACTCCCGCATGAAGCGTTTACCTTAGCTGCTCACATTGTCGGTGCTGCCCCGTTGGCTCGCAGCACCCCACTTGCATTTTTCGCGCCGCCACCCTAGCACCACCTATCATCGCGACCATTGCTGCCTAGGTTGGTTTTGCAGCAGCGAAATGTGCCGTTGGCCCTGCAGCAGGTGCCCCCAACCTTGTAATACCTCTCGCCCCACTTTGTGTTCGCATACAAACACATCATTGTGTACTTTCGGCATCGAAGGGGCCTCGTCAGGAGCGTGATACGCAAGACACGTTGGTGGACTTTTGAGCATCCAAAACCCACACACTTGGGAGGGATCCCGTAAGGGAATGCGAAGGTTGTGGGTTGCCCTAAGTCGACTTGATTGCCCCTAGGGCCTCGAGGTTCACTGCTCTGCAACACAAAGAACAACGAAGAAACAGAAAAAATAAAAAATGAGAAAGATATAAAAAAATGTAAAGATAAAAAGTGGTAGGTTGGTTGATCGATTGTGTGCCGTTCCAATCCGACGCTACCTCTCATCTACATATACGAGGCGACGAGACTTCCCATGCAAGAAAAGGACTCCAAATCCGATCCAAATCTTTCTAAAATTAAGCTAACTCGGAATCTCGGATTTTAATATGGGTCTGAGAAAACATCTTGGTTTTTGGAACCCACATGCCACATATGATCTCATATTGAAATGACCCAAAAGGAGAAGTTGTTTGCCTCAACAAGAGGAAGAACTTTCATGTTGAACTTGTTTCATCCGTGGCAATCATGAGTACTAAATAGCTCTTGCCATATAAAAGACATGTATGACACCATGTCTATAATTTCAATTGTATTTTTAACTTTGGAGGTCACATATTAACTCAAATGGAGATGACCATAAAAGCAATGTTTTATGTTCCAATGCTACTGAAAACTTCATGTTGACCACCTTTTCGTTCAAGACAACCTTGGGGGACCGAATAACTGGTGCCATGTATCAAACATGGGTGTCTGGGGTCAGTCGCTAGATTTTTGTCATGGTCTGGTCTTGACTGTTTTGGATGTACAGTTTTCATAATACCTTGGATTGAGATGATTCAAAAGCAAAGTCGCTTGTCTCAATTATACAAAGAATGTTCATGTTGAACACTTCTTCATTTGAGGCCATTTTGAGGATATTATCATGCAAGCCTAAAGGCGGTGTCAACGCATGCACCCTTTTTTTTTGCAAAGCTAGGGTACCAAATAATAATTTGTGTCGACTTAGTTGTAAGGATGGTGTCAACACTCCGTCGACCATTTTATATACCAGATGATCCATTGCGCCATTAATGCAGAGACCAACTACAATCGAGAAGTTAAATGTACTATTTGAAACATAAAGCGAAAGTTAAGTAAACTAGTTGAAGAGACAATTAAGTAAACTAATTGAAAAGACAAACTGTAGTCATCAATACAAAGACGTTTCCCGTGAAGATATGCAAGTGATTATATTTGTATTGTGTTTGTATCTATCATGTATATTTAGCAATGATTGAAACCCATCTCCTTATTTCGTCGGCTAGAGCAACCCAACATCTGGGTCCATAAAAAGGTCGAGCACACCCCCATGACACATGACTCTCGCCGCTTGGCGTGTAAGCCACACCTGCTCATTGATCGTGCTCTTTTCTAGCCCGTGAATCGTCTGGTTGGTTCACCGCTGCTTGTTGTGGTGCCAGTTCATTTTGCGCCTAGTAAATATAGTTAATATGTTGTTGGACGGTACCTAGACTGACGCAAGAACACAAGTCGTGCTAGTTGATAACCCACAAGTATAGGGGATCGCAACAATTTTCGATAAGTAAGCGTGTCGAACCCAACGACGAGCTAAAGGTAGAACAAATATTCCCTCAAGTTCTATCGACCACCGATACAACTCTACGCACACTTGACGTTCGCTTTACCTAGAACAAGTATGAAACTAGAAATACTTTGTAGGTGTTTTCGGAAAGGCCTGCAAGAAAGTAAAGAGCACGAAAATAAAACTAGGGGCTGTTAAGGTAAAGAAGCAACTAAAGTAAATATAGCAAGTGTGAAAAAGTGATGGTAGGAGTTGCGAAATTGTCCCTTAAGCAATTGACTACTTTACTAGACCGATAGCAAGTATTATGTGGGAGAGGCCACTGCTAGCATATCATCCCTGACTTGGAATTCCATGCACTTATGATTGGAACTATTAGCAAGCATCCGCAACTACTAACGTTCATTAAGGTAAAACCCAACCATAGCATTAAGATAAATTGGTCCCCCTTCAATCCCATATGCATCAATTTCTATGCTAGGTTGAAGCTTCTGTCACTCTTGCCCTCCAATATATAGTCCTATCAACATACAACTAACCCTAGGGTGTGATCCACGCGCGCAATCATATGATGGGCACCAAAGGACAGCAACATAACCACAAGCAAATTAAATCAATCATAGCAATTCATCAACCACCGATAGAACAACGAAAATCTACTCAGACATCATGGGATGGCAACACATCATTGGATAATAATATGAAGCATAAAGCACCATGTTCAAGTAGAGGGTACAACGGGTTGCGGGAGAGTGGACCGCTGTAGATAGAGGGGGGAAGGTGATGGAGATGTTGGTGAAGATGGCGGAGGTGTTGGTGTAGATCGCGGTGATGATAATGGCCCCCGGTGGCACTCCGATGCCACCGGAAGCGAGGGGGAGAGAGCCCCTCTCCTTATTCTTCTTCCTTTACCTCCTCCCTAGGTGGGAGAAGGGTTTCCCTTCTGGTCCATGGCCTCCATGGCGTGGGAGGGGCGAGAGCCCCTCCGAGATTGGATCTATCTCTCTGTCTCTCTCTGTTTCTGCGTTCTCAGATTCTTCCCTTTCATCGTTTCTTATATTCCCGGAGATCCGTAACTCTGATTGGGCTGAAATTTTGACACGATCTCTATCCAGAAATTAGCTTTCTTGCGACGAAAGAAGGGCACCAACCGCCTTATGGGGTGGCCACGAGGGTCAGGGGCGCGCCTGACACACTGGGGCGCGCCCCCCTACCTCGTGGGCCCCTCGAGTATCGTCTCGCGTGGATTCTTCTTCCCAAAAATCATATATATTCCAAAAAAATCTCCGTCAGTTTTTATTCCGTTTGGACTCCGTTTGGTATGGGTTTTTTGAGAAACAAAAAACATGCAACAAACAGGAATTGGCACTGGGCACTGGATCAATATGTTAGTCCCAAAAATAGTATAAAAAGTTGCAAAAAAGTATATGAAAGTTGAATAATATTGGCATGGAACAATCAAAAATTATAGATACGACGGAGACGTATCAACATCCCCAAGCTTAATTCCTGCTCGTCCTCGAGTAGGTAAATGATAAAAAAATAATTTTTGATGTGGAATGCTACCTAGCATAATCTTGATCATATGTCTAATCATGGCATGAATATTAAGACACGAGTGATTCAAGGCAATAGTCTATCCTTTGACATAAAAACAATAATACTTCAAGCATACCAACCAAGCAATTATGTCTTATTGAAATTACATAGCCAAAGAAAGCTCATCCCTACAAAATCATATAGTCTGGCTATGCTCCATCTTAACCACACAAAATATTCACATCATGCACAACCCTGATGACAAGCCAAGAAATTGTTTCATACTTTTGACGTTCTCAAACCTTTTCAACTTTCACGCAATACATGAGCGTGAGCCATGGACATAGAACTATAGGTGGAATAAAATATGATGGTGGGGGTTATGTGGAGAAGACAAAAAAAGGAGAAGATAGTCTCACATAAACTAGGCGTATCAACGGGCTATGGAGATGCCCATCAATAGATATCAATGTGAGTGAGTAGGGATTGCCATGCAACGGATGCACTAGAGCTATAAATGTATGAAAGCTCAACAAAAGAAACTAAGTGGGTGTGCATCCAACTTGCTTGCTCACGAAGACCTAGGGCACTTGAGGAGGCCCATTGTTGGAATATACAAGCCAAGTTCTATAATGAAAATTCCCACTAGTATATGAAAGTGATAACTCAAGAGACTCTCTATGTGAAGAACATGGTGCTATTTTGAAGCACAAGTGTGGAAAAAAGGAATAGTAGCATTGCCCCTTTTTATTTATTTTCTCTTTTTTTATTTGGCCTTTCCTTTTTTTATTTGGCCCTTTTTTGGGACAATGCTTTATTAATGATGATCATCACACCTCTATTTATTTACAACTCAATGATTACAACTTGATATCTAGAACAAAGATATGACTCTATATGAATGCCTCTGGCGGCGTACCGGGATGTGCAATGATCTAGCATAGCAATGACATCAAAAAATGGACAAGCCATGAAAACATCATGCTAGCTATCTTACGATCATGCAAAGCAATATGACAATGAATGCTCAAGTCATGTATATGATGATGATGAAAGTTGCATGGCAATATATCTCGGAATGGCTATGAAAA